TGTTCCTCCTGGTGCAATTCCTGGCCACCTTTGTCAGCCACCTGGGAGTTGCTACCAAGCTGAAGTCATTTCATGTTGGTCAGCAAAAAGAGTTTTTGTCTGTCTTTGGACCCTGAAGCTAGTCTGAATTTAAGCAATGAACCTGAGTGAATTCTAAGCGGTGACTATACACCCCCAGGAAAGAACTTTTCTCCTTTGTCTAGGACCCAAATGGAGATAAAGACGTTTTCTTTAAAAAAAAAAAAAAGACGTTTTCTTACAGGCTCTTAAGCAAGATGGATTGGGTTGTATCATTTTACCGTGCTTATTCTGACTCATTAGCAGCGTGAGATATGCAGGCAACACAGCCTTGCTTGCTGGGCCTGAAGAGGCGTGGCGACCCTTCCTGAGGGAGCTCCGAGACTGCAGCCTGCAGGGTGGGTCACAGTAAAGGAAACAGCCTGCGCTGGACCCGTGAGCAGCAGTGGGACAAACAGAAATGATTGCAGCGGTCAGGGATTTCGTTTCACTTGGATAAAGGAAACCCACATTCAGTGCCCGTGGACGCAAATCTGCTGCAAGAGATCTCTCTAAAGGGTCCAAGCAGAGGGTGCCGTTTGAGGATCAAGGTGCCCCTGACCCAGGTGCCATGACATTTTTAGGCACCGCGTGTGCGGACAGTGAAGCACAATGACCAGCGAATAAGTGATGCATTTGAGTGACGGTGCGGGTGAAAAATATTGAACGTACCACGATGGACGGCCAGAAGAACAGACAAATCTGTCTCGGAAGAAGTACGGCCAGAATGCTCCTCAGATGTCAGTAAAACGATTGAGGAAATTTTAAAAAGACCCCTTAGAAGCAAAAATGGTGAGATTTTGTCTCTCATACTTTGGACACGTCAAAGGGAACAGTCCCTGGGGGAGGACATCATGCTCAGTAGAGGGGCAGCGAAAAGAGGAAGATCCTCAAAGTGATGGACTGACACCGCGTCCGCAACAATGGGCTCAAGCACAGCCACCGGCACGAGGCTGGCGCAGGACCCTGCGGGCGGTGTTGGGTTCTGTTGTTCGCGAGTGCTGTGGGTGGCACACACTTGGTAGGACCTAAGGGCAGTAGCCAATGACTGGGCCCCGAGGGGAATCTCTACTGAAGAGGATTCAGGTCTGTCTGCTCAGCTGACACAGCCCAGGCTAGGTCTCCTGTCGCCCCAAACCCTTCAGCACTTGGGGTGCTCAGACATCAGCATCCCCACAGGTCCTATTCCATTTTTGGATCCCAGGAGGGTCCCTGGACCCTTGAGAGGCTGTTTGCACTACCTCTGATCCCAGCATTCCAGGTGTTTTGCAGTTGGGGGGTGTCAGGAGGTCTTCTCGCTGCTTACAGAAACGGAAGTCTTCTCCCCTCTTCTGGCCAGTCGATGTCGCTCTTTGCTTTCAGTCAACTGCAGCGTTTCCTTACTGCCTTACAGCTTTGTGTCTGGACTTATTAGCCAAGGGAAAGTGGAAGCATTTGAAAAAATGCTGTGGCG